AAAATTCGGTAAAATATCAGTAAAATTGCAGGAAAATAATTAAAGTGCAGGTTAAAATTCGGTAAAATATCAGTAAAATTGCAGGAAAATAGTTAAAGTGCAAGTTAAAATTCGGTAAAATTTCAATAAAATTGCAGCAAAATAGTTGGGATACTGTAAAATCGTAATGAAATTGCAGTAAAATAATTAAGGTCCAGCAAAAAAAGAAAAAAAAACCGTATGTGAGCATTTGAATAGTGAAAAATGAAAGGGAAAAAAAATTTCAAAAAAAAAAATTATCACATACAATTTATTGAAATTAGAAGAAATCGTAATGGAAGATGAAATAATACTGCAGCATTCCAAATGATTCGTTCCTTTGGTAAATTGATAATTCGTGAAAATGATGGTATATTAACAGGCTATTTAAAAAATGAAAAAATAATTAGATTGTTCAAAAAGTAAATAAAAAAATAGTAGTAATGATTGAATATTTATTAAAATATAAATATTTTAAATTTGAATTCAAAAATGGAAATGGATTGTTATAGTTGAACGAAATAATGAATATATCGAAAAAAAATAAAGTTTTTCTTTTTTTTCTTTTAAGGTTAAGTTGGGTTAAGATTTTTATTACTTTAACATAATTTACTTTAAATGCTTTAAAAAAAAAGAAAAGAAACGGATGACAAAAAAACAAAAATTGTAAAGTTCCTAAATTTAAATTAATATTTTGCTATTATTCCTTGAATTTATGCATTTTTTTTACTTTTTTATTTCATTAATCATTCAAAAAATCTCTTCCAAAATAAGTAATAAAAAACGATATCACAAAAAAAAAAATTTTTTTTTTGAAAGAAAAGAAATAAAATAATTAAAATTAAAAGAATGAAATAATTAAAATAAAAACTTACCCCACATGACCAATTATAATCAAGTATTTGTTGATAATCCAATGAAAAACCAAGTATGAAATCAATGATAAGTGCTAAAATTGGTGCACCAATTGTTACAAGTGCATAATTTTGAAATGAAATTTCAAATAATATTATATCATCATCTTTGTTTTCATTGATAATAGTATCATTATCGGTTTGATGATAAGGAACAGAGCATTGTTTAACAATTTTCATTTCATCGATTTCCTTCATTTTCCCATTATCATTTGTTGTTGTTGTCGTTGAATGCATTTCTTTTATGCAAATAATAAAACAATTTATGAATAATCGAAAGATTTGTAAAATAATTAATGAAATAATTAATAATAGAAAGATGTAAAATATTTAATGAAATAATTAGAAAATAATTATAATAGAAAGGCGTAAAATAAAATAATTAAAAGTTTCCTCATTTTATCATTTAATTTCTTATCAATACTAATATCTTCTTATCAATTATTCATTGAATAACTTATCAGTTATTTATTGAGTAACAAACTAACGACTACAAAAATATTGGTACAGTATGATTATCTGATCAAATTCCATATTTCTGATCATATTTTATGTATTGAAAAAGAGATGGAAAAGATTTATTGCTATTCTTTTCAATTTTGTTAAAGTAATCCAATTACAGGATGTTTTCTTCTGCAATATTTTCATTTGAATAACTGAAAGTAATTTTAGGAAAATATTTTTTAAATCTTGAAATTCCTAGAATTAGTTTCGTTGTTAAATTTAAAGGTTTGATGACAATTTTGTTTATTTCAAAATTTCATAAACAATTTTCACAAATCCATTCCAGTTTTGTTATTTATTTCCTTTAAAATTTATATTACAAATTTTAATATATTGTTTAAAATGATTAAATTTGAAAAAAAAAGTTAGAAATTAAAAATTTTACATTAAATTTAAAAGAGAAATGTAACACATTGATACATTTGAACAAAAATAATTGCTTTAATTGGTTGAAAAAAATGCACTGATAAACATATCATACTGTTAGAGAATTTACAGTCTACTACTGATAATTGACAGTTTATCACTGATAACACGCAATTTACTATCGATAACTTACAAAATTAACTATTGATAACTCGTTTTTTTCCTATTACTAAAAATTATTGCTAACAAAAAGTATCATCAATTTAATGCCCGGAAAGTAAAAAGCAAAAAATAAGATAATAACAATTGAAGAGAATTTAAAGATTCAAAGAGCAATCAACATTTAATGGTTTTTAATATTATTTGAACCAGGTGAAATTATTTAAACCAGGTGAAATTGTGTTTTTAGTATCTTCTTTACTACTTGTTTCATTTCATAGCATTCTTCTATTGGTCAAAGATCAGGATAGCGTAGATGGCGTAGACGGAGAAGGGAAAAGAGATCAAAGAACACTAATTAAATGAAATGTAACCTTAAAATTTTTTTTTTTTGTTTTTATAGAAATGATAATTAATTGAAATTTATCAAATAATAGCATTTTGTGTTAATGCTTGGAAATGATACCATAAAAATTCATTCACAAAAAAGATTTCATGTACTTTTTTCTTTTTTTTCTAGAAAAAGTATAGACAAAAAAACTTTTCATTGCAAAAAAAAACATAATAATCGCTTTTATTTTGGTGATGAAAAAAGAAAACAAAACAAGAAAAAAAGTCTGTTAAATTTGATTTCCAATATTAAAATTTAACTTGTTACTTTTATGAAAATTCCCACTTACAATTCATGGCATCTTTGTCTTCATGTAATAAAGAGTAAAATGTGTAAGTAAGATGGGTTTTTTCTGCTCTCAAAAAAAAAAAAAATTAATTTCTACTCAGTATTGCAGTAAAAATTAAAATTAAAATTTTGTGTGTAATTGATTAATTAGCAATTGATAATATATATGGCAAATTTGTAATATTTTTATTTGACTTGTAACAATTGATAAATATTTCATTTCTAGGATTTGTCGGAATTTGCGAATGTAATTTATCAACTTTATCACCAATACTATTTTGCAAGGCTTATTTTTCTACACCATACTTACTTCTTTAAAAAAAAAATGAAAGGAAAAAAACGAAAAGAATGATAGTATCATTCAAAACATTTATCAACATATGTTAAAATGAATTGAACAATTTTAAATTTTAAATCACAATTTAATCATTGGAAAAATTCTTTTTATATTAATTAATTTTTAAGATTTAAACAGGAATTTCAATTGCGCAATTATTTCTTATACAATTTAAAGTATTTCAGAAATTTTTCAATTTATTTTCTCATAACTTAAAAAAATTTCCCTACTTTTTTCCAATAAAATTCTAACTCAAATCTCTTCCAATTTTACGCATATTTATCAAATTTTTTGCTTTCTAATTTTTAGCATTTATCTATCAAATTCTTTGCTTTATAACAGGGCTTTTTTTTTACCAATTTCTAGTATTTTGAAACTTCTTTTGTTGATTTCGCTACGATTATTTTGATATGATAACACTTAATATCACCTCCAAGAATTGATTCAAAATATTGTGAGTACCACTTTCGAGGATTGATTCAAAATTTTGTGAGTACCACTTCCGAGGATTGATTCAAAATTTTGTGAGTACCACTTTCGAGGATTGATTCAAAATTTTGTAACCGTTTTAGTGTTGCTGTTTTTCTTCAATTATACACTTTAATTACTGATAATTCCCAAATCTAAATCATGATCTAGGTTAAATTCGCAACTTCTATCTAATCATTATATTTGTACTTCGTGAAATACAAAATAATTCTATCTAATAATAATATTGATCTTCACCAAAACTATCCAATGGCAAAATTTTTTTACTTTTTAATTCTATCATTCTCTTTTTTTTCAATGTTAACACAAAATTTGTTTTTATGGTTTTATTTGATGAAAAAAATTCTATGAATTACGTAACTAATATTAATAGTAATAAATAGTAAGCAATAAATACTAAATAGTGAATAATAAATAATAAATGATAAACAATAAATAATAAATGATAAACAATGAATAATAAACGATAAATAATAAATAATAAGTGATAAACAATAAATAATGAAATGATAAACAATAAATAATAAATGATAAATAATAGATAATACATAATAAATAATAAATAATACACAATAAATAATAAGTAGTAAACAATAAAAATAAATAATAAATAGTGAAGAACAAATAATAAATAATAAATAGTAAAGAAAAATGATAAATAATAAGCAATAAATGATAAACAGTAAATAATAAATAATAAATAACGATGAAAATAATGATTAATAATAATAATAATAATAATAATAATAATAATAATAATAATAATAATAATAATAATAATAATAATAATAATAATAATAATAATAATAATAATAATAATAATAATAATAATAATAATAATAATAATAATAATAATAATAATAATAATAATAATAATAATA